GCCTATAGAATATTTTATCGTTATAGTTATTAAAAATGAGATTGATGCCAGAAAGCACAAAAGAAATTCTGCAATATTCACAAAGCGTGAGTCAAACTCACCCACATATAAACATTAGTTTTAACGAGTTCTGCAGGTAAATTTGGCAGCACGTTTGCCATAGACAAAAATGAGATTAATAAAATAAAAATACAAAGTAAAAATAACCTTACGAGTTTCGTCAAACTCTTTTTTATATGGATTCCAGCATACATCATTTCTAAGTTTGTCAACTTTGAGAAAGAAATTATTTGTGCTTTGGTCGTCAACTGATTCTATTCCTTGAGCAAGGAGCCATGCAAAAAATTCAACTGCGAAAACTTTTTTCGGATCATAAATTCTGAAGAATTTGTCATATATATCTCCTGAATCCCTATTCTCAACCTTAATATCATTCATTCTCTTAATAAAATGACTAAGTTTTATCCTTTTCTTTAGTCTGTCCATAGCATAGTATTTATGTTAGTATTTACATATAGAGAAAAAAATTTCAAACACATGTTTCTTTATGTGCCAAAAATATCATATTTAAGTAATTCAGGGTAATATAAAACAAGCTTTTTGAGACCCGAATTAGATTTGCATGTAATATAAATCCGGTTATTATTTAAGTTAAACCGGGTGAATTTAAAATCGAATATGTGAAATTTTAACTAAATCATTTTACAATAAAATATTATACTTCATAACATGCTAGAAATAAGAATTTTGTACATTGAATTTTCATAGAATTGAGAATTTCATGAATAATTTTTATATAAATAATTGATCAATAAAATACAATAAATACAATGTAAATTTAATTTAAACTTTTTTACCAATTTATTTATTCTTCATAAACCTATTTAATTTTAAATATTTGAAATAAATTAAATTTCAATTAACATTTTTTTTACTTAAAAATACAGTATATAAATAAACATATATATAATCAAAAAATATTTTTTATTTAACGTTAAGTATAAATGATTGATGTTTTCATTACTAAATTACTAAGACGAAAGCAATAAATATTTCCAAAAAGATATACATAGTAATTATGGACCAACAAAAAAGATTACAACAACAAATATTACCTTTGCTGGAGAATAAATGTAAGAATTGGAAGTTTTTTGATCTTCTCATTACTTATGTTAATACAATTAAACTCGAACCCTGGAATGACAAAGCAAAAAATACCTATAATTATCAAAGACTTTTAATTTTGATTGAATCAAAAAAAGATGATGAGTTTAATCAAGCAAAAAGGAAATGTGAGATAATTTGTTAACTACTAAAAAGATTAAAACTAGTGATGACTTGCAAATGATTTTTGCCTGGCTTTCTGGCTTTCAAAAAGGCTTAAACGTACCCTGCGTTACAAAGTAACTCAATTTATACGTGACTAGCTGGTTTAACTAGTTAGTTTGTATAATAATTTAAACTTGAATTCCCTAACAATTGCATTTGCGTGGAGTAAATTGAATTGAATGTCATATATATGTTGTAAGTGGAAAGGGAATTTATGTGGATTCGGAATTTATATATAAAACCCCGTTCTGGGGTTGATTTTATCACATGTACATCCTAACCCTAACCCTAATTTAACTAGGAAATTCCAAATCCACTTAAATTCCATTCCCACTTACAATATATATATATATATATAATTATTCAGTTTACCTTTGCAAAAATTAACAATTGAAATAAATTATCATTTTTCAAAGTTATGTAAATTTCAGAAAATTAGATTATTTCATGTAATTTCACACGTTATACATAAAGTACCAAATTTATCATTATTACATTTACAAGTAACAGAAATTTTTACTGCGCCACAATAACAATTGATTTGACACAGTTCATTTCACTGACAAGCCATCTACCCACATCACGCAGGTGATAATTTAGCATTTTGCTAACTCCAGTTATATTTTGTTACCAGACAATAAGCTCTATCTGCATTATACTTTTCGATATAGTGTCACACGCCTGATTCACCCAACCATATAGATCACCCGATCCTAGCCCCGATCACTTTTCGTTGCTGCGCCACCAATTAATTAATTGGGTTCAAATAATTGCAATTAATTGCACCCACAATCAATTATTCGGTAGGCCTGCTATTAATACGCTACGCGTCATTTTCTCATATTAATAAAACATAGGTCGCGGACTATAGTACCCTGGGTACGATCATTCCACAGCTAAAATCCAAATTAGTACCCGGGTATTATACTATATAAGAGGTGTATTTTATATAGAAATAATATATCTACATAGTTAATACCCGGGTATTTCGCACTTTAAAGTACCTGGGTATCTTGCATTCAACAGCGAAAAATTTTTATAGGGGGTACTTTGATGTGGGGGGGTACTATGGTCCGCGCTGTACGGTAGTACTAGCAGTATTTAGTAAAAATGTGAAGTTCTTGGAGGGGTGGATTATTTTGAATTAATTTTAACAGTGTGAATATCTACGTTCGTTTAGAGCTAGAATTTTTTTTACGGCGATTTTTTTGTTAGTGAAACGTTGTGTTCACAAAAAGTACTTTAAAGTGTATAAATAAGTTACCCAGGCAATTGATTTACATCGGCCAATCAGACGAAAGTTGGCGCCTATGACATGACACAGGACTTATAATCACATGACACATGATTAAATTTTATATATTCACATCCTGTTTCAGATCCTAAAATCTTGTTTTAAATACGGTATTTGCTGTATAAAGAAATATATGTGTGAAACTTTTTCTCTATATGTTAAATACTAACATTAAATACCTTACTATGAACAGACTAAAGAAAAGGGTAAAACTTAGTCATCTTGCTAAGA